GGGCGGGACCCTAAACTTCGGGCGGACGCAGCCGCGCGCCCCACACGGTTCCGGGCTGGGAGGAGAGGCTGGAGCTCCGGGACGGGGCCCGCCCGCCCGCCGGGAACCGCCGCGCACTTACGCCTCCTTGAAGCTCCGCTCCAGAACGCTCGCCAGCGCCCGCGTTCCGGCCGCCAGCGGCCGCCCGGGATCCGGCTTTTGTCCGGGTCCGGCGCGCCCCGCCCCGCCCGCATCGGCTCACGCCGAGCGCGGCGCCGCGATTGGCCACACGCGATCCCTAGCCTGAGAGCCAAGGCTCCTCCCCATTGGCTGCCGCGCCGACCCCACCTCTAAGCCGGCTCCCGGAGGTTTCTGGGACTTGTAGTCTGGAGGCCCCGCCGGGGATCTGGGCAGCAGGGAGTGGGCGGGGCCTCGGGTGGGGAGATGGGCGGGGCTGCCGCGAGCAGAGCGTGCGCGGCCTGGTGTCGTGGCCTGATCGCGGCGGGGCTGGACAGTCCGTCGCCCGGTGGGGTCGTGCACGTAGGGGGTGCGCCTGCGAGGCTGCTGTGCTGCTTGGGGGACCTGGCTGCCCCTTCATCTCACGCGGGAAAATTTGACGTCCGTGGCCTGTGCTTGCAGTCTGCTGTACCAAACCTAGTGGGTGATACCGCTTTTTTTTTTTTAAGGCACTGGGAACTGGAGCCGGGCGTGGTGGCGCACACCTGCAATCCCAGCACTCGGGAGGCTGAGGCAGGAGCATTGTTGCGAGTTCGAGACCAGCCTGGGCTACAAAGTGAGCTCAAGGCCAGCCTGAACTGCATAGGGAGACCCTGTCTCAAAAAGACAAAGAAAAAATAAAATAAAATAAAATAAAGGCACTGGGAATTGAACCTTGGACCTGCACATGAGATATATCCTCTGGCCTCCTTATTTTGTATTTTGAGACAGGCTCTCGCTAAATTATTGAATTGCGCAGGCTGGTTCGAAATTGCTACTCCGCGATAAGAAGGTGAAACGGTGACCGGAGGGGCCGGGAGGCATTCTGTCACAGCCTCAGGACTTGGCCCTGCTCCACGACCCACCGGGCAGGTCAGGGTTGAGCTGACGCCTGCCCACAGGGTCCAGCGCGGCTGGGCCACCTGCAGCCCGTCCACCCAGCCCTGCCGCCGCCCACCTCTCCGCTCTTTGCAGAGCAATAGACTTGTTCTCAGGCCAGACTGGGGCGCCCAGGCTCTTGCGCGCTGCTGAAAACAGGTTGCCAGCCCGCCCGGAACCTGCCTCCCACAGGTCCAGGCCCAGAGCCAGAGCCACGTGGGAGCGCTCAGGTGATAGAGTCGGCCTAGCGTCCAGGGATCGGCAGCAGGCCCTTGCCAAGCACTCTGGTCACACGCGCCAGGCAACAGCCTTGCGACACCCTTGTAGACAGAGCTGTGTCCACCCCAAGCGTGCCCCTTTCTGGTCCCTTCCATCTCTTTCAGCCTTTACAAAGAGCAGTTTCCAGCGGACGTAGTGGCCCACACCTGTCATTCTAGCACTTAGGAGGCTGAGACAGGAGGATCGTCAGGAATGCTCATGTTCTGCACGCCAGCCCAGACTACTATAAGACCGCGTCGCCCCCCTTCCTACCCCCTCAAAAAAAACAAATAGCAGCTCCTGGCTTGTTCTCCCTCTTACTGCTGAAATGAGGGGTGGGGTGTCCCTGGTAAGCCCCGCCCCTATTGGGCGTGCTTTGTGCCCCAGACAGCACAATCTCCCCAGTAAGAAAGCGCCCCATGGAGGCGCTCAGGTCTGGCTCCGGGGAACAGCAGTGCCGGGTCCTCATGGGCTAGGATAACAAGCGGCTCAGTGATCCCACTAGTGACGGGGTACACACTACTGGGGACCTACAGACAGCGGGTGGAAAACAAACCACAGGCCACGGCAGGAAAGTCGGTGCATGGAAGGTGCACTTCCTCTTCAGCCCAGCAATATCATTTTTTTCTTTGTTTGAGACAGGGTCTCACTATATAGCCTAGGCCTGGCCTCCAATTCCCTGCAGTTCTCCTGCCTCAGCCTCCCTGGTGCTGTGATGGCAGGGGTGCGCCCACGCACCTGATGGCCGTTGCATTTTTTTTTTAACACACTGTTCTGCAGCTGTGGGCTTGCACAGGTGCCTGAAGCCGAAGGTCTCTGCTTTGGGCGCCGTTGCTCCCAGCACTTTGAATCCGCCTGGTGCACGGCACGCGCTTGGTAAACACCGGCTGCCAAGCCAGTCCCCTGACAGATGTCCCAGTTTGACTGCTCTGGGGTAGGGGCTACAGGAACTGACTGTTGGAGGAGTGAGAGTGGAGCAGTCCTGGCCAGAGGGACCAGGAGCCCACCCTGAGGTGTCCCAGCCCCCACCCCGCCCCCAGGGAGATGCTCGTCACCCATCAGCCCCACGGATCTTCCTCTGCCCCAGTTTCTTGGCTCTTCCTGCTCCACTTCAGGAACTGGGCTGGAGGTCAGGTTCACGGTGCAGCAGATAAAGGGTCAGCCAGGCCAGGTGCATGCCACTCAGGAGGCTGATGCAGGAGGATTGCCACGAGTTCAAGCCCAGCCTGGACTACAGGGTGAGACCCTGTCTCAAAACAAAAATAATGAGTTTGATTCCCGGTACCAAAGTAAATAAATGAATAAATAAACCAAAAAAGAAAGCAAGAATGACAGTGGAAGGAAAGGTAGAATAAGGAGAGAGGAGATACAGACAGGAGGAGGTTTTCTCATGTGTCCAGTTCTAAAACACCTTTTGCTTGATTTTCTTTCTTTTTGAGACAAGCTCATGCCATGTCCTCCTGGCTGGCTTCCAACTCATAGTGATCCTCCTGCCTCAGCCTCCCAGGTGCTGGGATGACAGGCATATGCCACCCCATTCAGCTTAGCCACCTCTGTCCCCAGACAGCTGGAGTCAGGCCTCCCAAGAGACGCTCATCCTGACTCACCGGGGAGGAGCCTCCCTCCTGGAAGCTAGCACCCCTCCCTCAAGTCTGACAGTGGCTGCCACCCGCAGGAAGTTGCAGGGACAGGCCTGGGGCTGCAATTTCCCTCTGGAAACAGCCCACCCCTCTCCACGCCAGCCCACAGAAGTCACCGTGGCTCTCTCTGTTCTCAGACCTGCCCCTGGCCCCAGGGTGCCCATGTAAATTCCCACCTTTCGAAGGTGGCGCCTGCAGCCCCGGTGTGCACATGGAGCTCCTGACCAATCCGTCACACACTCAGCCTTATCACAAGCCGTCTTATTATTTCCGCTCAGTATTTGTTTATTATTTCTGCCTCTTGTCTCTCCTATCAGGTTCTGGGATCGCAAATTCTCTCCAGGCCAGGCGAGAGCAGAGGTCAGAGGTCACTGCGCCTATGAGGCCAATGTGTCCACGAGCGGTTTAGGAAGGTGCCCGAGCCTGGGACCCATGGGCCCTCAGCCCAGGAACACGATCAAGGAGGTGCAGCCCCAAGTACTGCCTATCAGCACCTCCATCCCAGGTCCTCAGAATCCCAGCCCACCAGGCCGGGCAGAGTGGTGCGTGCCTGTCATCCCAGCACTCAGGAGGCTGAGGCAGGAGGATTCTCACAAGTTCGAGCCCAACATGGGCTACACAGCAAGACCCTGTGCAAAACCACCCGGGCAGAGCTGAGCAGGGTTAGCCCTCAATGCCCGTGTGGTTTCCCCTGCCAAGATGCCCAGGGCATGGGGCAGCCCAGCTCAGCCGGATCCTGGTGCTGCTACCTGAGGCCCCACGTGTCACCGGCCTGGGTGTTTTATAGTGAAACCAGAGAAGGACTGCGTGGCTCTGCCAGTGCTTCACACCCTGCCGAGGAGCACAGTCTTTAGGGTGGCTGCTGCACTGTGCTTTTTAAACCAGCTTTATTGAGATGCCATTAATGTGCCCTAAACTGGCGTGCGCGGCCGTTACCGCAGCCGGGGGACTGGCCTTTGCCCTCACCGGTGTCCTAGCCCACCCTGCGCTGTCTAGTACTTTACATTCAGGCTATTTAAATTAGTTTCCTTTTTTTTTCCAGTGTGGGGATTGAAACCAGGGCCTTCACACTGAGCTGCATCCCCAGCCCTTTTTAATTTTTTTTTTTTTTTTTTTTTTTTTTGAGACAGGGTCTCATTACATTGCCCAGGCTGAACTACAAACTGTGATCTTTCTGGCTCAGCCTTCCAGAGGGCTGGGATTACAGGGCTGCCCGGCTCCATTTTGTTAAAGGATATTTACATTCAGCATTACTTTGCCTGTTTGCTTCTTCTTCTTCGTTTTTTTTTTTTTTGAGACAGTGTCTCATTATGCAGTTCAGGCTAGCCTTGAGCTCACTTTGTAGCCCAGGCTGGCCTCGAACTTGCAACGATCCTCCTGCCTCAGCCTCCCGAGTGCTGCTATTATAGGTGTGCACCACCACACCTAGCTGCCTGTTTTCTTATAGGTCATCTAACCTCTGATCCCTGGGAACCACACACTGGTGACAATGACTAGGTGTATATTTAGAATTTTCAGCACGGAGTGGTGGCACATGCCTGTAATCCCAGTACTCTGGGAGGCTGAGGCAGGAGGGTTGTGAGCTCAGGTCTGGGCAACTCAGTGACTTAACGAGAACTGTCTCAAAAAATAAAAAAGTGCGGGGGATACAGCTCCATGCGAAGGCTCTGGGTTGTCTCCAGTACCAAAAAAAGAAAAAAAGAATTTTCTTCCTACCTATAAATGCAAACCTTGGTTTCACTGAGTGGTTTTTGCAAGAGGCGGTTTTGTTAAACTACTTATAGGTGAATAGTGCCATAACGAATGGTTTCATATACAGAAAAGAAATTAACTTTTTTTTTTTTT